CCCGAAAATGAGTTCGTGCGGTGTGGTTTCCGGAGGGAGGGAAGGGCGTTCGAGGCAGTTGCGAATCCAAACAGCTTGCCGCAGTGCCACCAGTGATGCTTCACGCCCATGTGCAGAAGCATCGTGCGCACCGATTCCACAACCGTGCGCATCTCTCGCTCCGCCATCCCATTCTGCTGTGGGGTATAGGGGCATGTCAGATCGTGAACGATACCGCAGCCGTCGAGGAACTCGGTGAATTCGGTGCCCAGAAACTCCCCTCCACGATCCGAACGGAGCGTTTTCACCTTCGCGTAGCACTGGCGTTCCACCATCGGCAGCCATTTTCGGAACCACTTCAGGGCGTCGCTCTTCTGCACGAGCGGGTACGTCCACACGAAACGTGTCTTCCAATCCTTGAAAAGAAGGAAGTATCTGCTTCCGTCATTCGCCGCGACACGAAACGGCCCGCAAACGTCCACGTGAACAACGTCCAAGACGTTCGCTGCCTCCTTGCCTTCTTCGGGGAACGTGTGGCGAACGAGTTTGCCTCCAACGCAGCAGACACACGGTATGTCTGCTCCGCTTGATGGAATGATTTCCAAGCCCGTTGCTGCTCCGTGCGCGGCCGTTTTCTTGATCGTGTCGATCCCCACGTGATCCAAACGAGCGTGCCATTTATCCACGAAAACGCGGATAGACGAAACCATCGCTCGTGGCGCCACGGTTTCCACTAGGTCCGAATTTCGTGGCACGAACGGACGAAGGTCGGTGCAGAGTACCCGTCCCGTGTAGCGCGCCCGCGCGAAAACGTTGCTGTTCGTGGAGAGGAGCACAGTCTCATCATCCGCTTCCTCCAATTTCACTCCGCTGTCCTTCAGCTGTCCAGTCGAGAGGAGATTCGCCTGCACTCCGGGGACGTAAAGCACATCCGAAACCAGGATCCGCTTTCCTCCCTCTCCTTCGAGAGCGACGGTTCCGCGGCCACGAACAGGTTGAACAGCTCCGTTGAATCCGTGTACGTGGCTCACGTCGCCTCCGTCCTGCATGCCCACGAACGCATTTCGGTCCCCCATCAAGTGATGCGCATCCACCAGCACGACTGATGGATTTGCCTGCACAGCTGCAGCAACCATTTGAAAATCTTCACCCGCTTCAGGCGCCAGTGAAATTGGGGTCTCCGTGGATGGTGAAGCGCACGTGATCGTTCCCACCATCGCACACGAAGCTTGGCCCGTGCCATTCGTGTTCGTGTTCGTGGTCGTCGTCGTATTTGCACCCGTATTCGCGTTGCCACCACCAGCAGCATTCGCGGGCTGTCGTCCACGGGCATGATTCGCGGGATGAGTCGGGGAGTCTTTGTGCTGGTTTTTGCGCCGAGATTGTCCTGCATTCGACCGTTCGCGTGGCCCATCGTGCTCATCGCCGAATCACCGCCGACACGATCTGGGCACTGGTAGGAGAGATGCTGCTGGTCACCGCAGACGAAGCAGTAGCGCTTGCGTTGGCCACGGCCGCGATCGTCCTTCTTGCTCGACTTCCCGCGGTTGTCCTCGTTTTTGTTTCCCTTCTCGGCTGCTGGTGCTTCTGTTGTCTGTGCTGCTGCTTCCCCTGCTGCTGCTGACCCCCCTTTTGCGATGGTGCCACAAAATTCGCGTGCAGAAGCAACTGCTCCTTACGTTTCTCGGACTCGAGCGTAAACTCCTCCTCGATGATGTAGCTGGAGAGCGAATCCTCATCAAGTTCTTCACGCACGCCCGGGAGCTTCACCATTCGCCTCAGCAGATTGTAGCGTTCGGGGAGGCCCTTGATCACGTGCGTGATGTACGACGACATCGCGTACTCCACGCCAGCCATTCGCAGGTCCGCAAGAATTTGCTGAGCACGGTTGCAGTAGCTTGTGGCACTTTCGTGCTCCCCCATTTCGAGGTTCGTCAAGCGCTGCTCCAGTTGCCCGAGGTACAAGTCGTCCGTGGCCTTGTACATCTTCATGATGAACTGCCATGCTTGGAACCCCGCGTCCTCGCGCATACGACACGGCTTTAGGGCGACTTGAATGACTGGAGAGCAGCATCGCAAAATCACCATGAACGTCAGCAGTTGTGCGGAGTGGAACTGAGAGAAGCGCTCGAAGTCGTCGTCTGGTGGAGGCACCACGGAGCCATCCACGAATTTCTTCAGCTGCGCGATTTCGAGCTGCGGCTCAATCGATTCCACCCACGTTGTCAGGTCGTGGCGTCCTTGAAGCGGTTTCGGAACCGTGATTTTGTCAAGTGAAAACTTGAAGTAGCCATATACGGGGGCGATGCCCGTGTCCCGAGAGTTCGAAGGCTGAGACGTCCTCGCTCGACCATCCATACTTAGACGAGCAGAGATTCGTGACCCATCCGCACCACCGCGTGCACTCCCAGCAGCGGCCGCTCGCAGCACCTGCGCTTGCGTTCTTCCGCCGCTCGTGACATTGGCCGGCACGAGCCCCCGAATAAGTCCACGTACTGCCCTTTCGCCTCCATTGCCAAGATTCACGTCATTGTTTTCAGCACGAGGAGCGGCAGACCCGTTGTCCGCTTCAGCACGAGGAGGTGGATGATCACGCGCCCACCGTTCATGGAGTCCAAGAATCAGGAGCTCCAAGTCCTCCGCGCTGATTCCAGTATCGCTGAAACGCTCCCGCATAGCAGCCTCCTGGGCCTCCACGCTATCCATGGCTTCCGAAGCGACGCCGTCGTCAGACATACGGAGCCTTTCGTGGCTGCTAGCCCTAGTCTGAAAATTTCGTGATCTACTCGGCTATCTGAAGGTTTCGTGCGTCGCTCCACGCTCACCGCACCATGCGGAGATTTCTAAATTTCGGGAAGGCTTGGGCACGAAATTGTGGGCACGGGAATCCGTCACGAAATGTGCACTCTAAGTTAGGGCACGAAATCTTGTTGTAATGCCTTGAGAAAATTTCAAGTGTTGAGAAAATGCTTGAACATAGCTTTACTATGAAAAATAGAACAATAGAATACAATGGGAAGGACCAGAACCATGTAGGAACGAAACGACGATAGTCGCGAACGTTCACGCAAAATGTTCCGACAACTACTCTAGCATGTGCGTTGCCAACTCAGCAACGGCAGGTGAAAATAACATGCCAGGTAAATTTTATACCTAACTAGAATAGTTGTTCATGTTTCTGCAACATGTGCAGTTACACATGCTTCGCTTGTGCAATATAGTCACTTCCTTCGATTTGGTCCATTTCTGTTTCGCGTGTCAATGTCGACGAAGGAGTGTACTGCGCGAATTTTCCCTCTCGAAGTCAGGACTTAGCCAAATTTCTCCATGTACAACTTCCCGCGCCTCCTGCCGTTTCGTAACCGCGGGAAACCCTGTAACGGTGATCCAACGCGAAACCTCCCAAGGGCGCGAAAATCGCCCCAGCACAGACGCGAAAATCTCGATCCCACGCAGACCCGAACCAGCAGGTGTGCAGTTGTGAACATTTTCGCGGCTGAAGGAACGCGCTCTGCTGCGCGGAAACTTTTTGCTCAATGCCCTCACACACGAAAAACAGGCTCGTGCAGGGCCTTTCGCGTCAACAAGGACGGCTCGGGAGAGTGCACGAGCGTTCAGGCCGGCGCGATTCACTGCGAGGACTGCGAGGGGAACGCGCACGAGCTCCCGCGTTGCTGCGATATAGACCTCTCCGGTTACGAGTTAAGCGCCGGCATACGGGCCAACACGGGGCATGACACCGAGTGGGGAATCACCATTTTGCAGTGCCCCGGAAATTCCGACTGTCACGATTTTGGTTACCCGCAGTGTAACGGGGGTGGATTTGACGGGATTAACCCGTACTGGATTTACCAAGACAATTACGACACTGGTTATGAATACTGCCCGGAATCCAGTGAAGCGATGTTGCGCGCGATGGAGCCCCGCGCGCACAGCAGCGGCGGAGTGCAGCTGCGCGAGATGGAGCGTCCCGCGGCGGAGATCCGTGCAGAACCGCCGCACCCGATCGCTCCCCTCGGCGACGGCGCACGGGCCGGCGGAAAGACCAAGATGAGCCGCCGCTTATGGGGAAGCGGCCGCCCCTGGTCTCCCCCGAAGATGTATAGCCGCCGCTTGTGGGGAAGCGGGCGCCCCATGTACCGCCGCTTGTATGGAGGCGGGAGGCAGTGGTACCCGTAATAAGCAGATTCGACGCCCTCAAATGTAGCTGGCGAAGTGTGAAGGAGATTCGCCCAACCTTGACCTGGCACCAAGACGGGACAAAGTAAGACATCAAATGGGTATGATTTTTTTAAGCGGTTTGTGAAGTGCAAAAGCATTGGGGTTGTCTGGGTTTTAGAGACAGATTGGGATTGGCCAGTGCAACCATTTCCACGTAGCTGGTTGCCAAAATAATCATTTCCAGAGTACCCTAAATGTGGTATTGTAGGAGGTTAGGTTGTTGGTTGTTAAGGTAGTTGCTTGGTTCTTGGGGCACGTGAGTTGATTGATGTCAGCTGGGTTGAAGGATTAGGATGTATTCACCAGTACTATTGTTGCCTTCTGGTACCGTAATTGGCTGCTGTGATATTGGGCTTTACCTATGGGTGGGATATATTTGCGTTAGCAGATTTAGGGTAAGTTCCTGAAGCGCGTCACAAAGGCCTCGCGTCTCAAACGAAGAGATGCAGTGCGGTGGAAAATTTTTTTTCTTAGGTGTAATGCGGTGCAGACCGGTATGGTGGGATTGAGACATTTGTGTCGATACAGGAATGTACCCTTATTCAAAAACAAAACTTCAAAATAACTCCTAAACAAAAAGGAAATTATCCTATAACCAAGTACAGTGCATCCCAGCAGCATTGTTTGCCCCACTGCCACTCCTATTGTTATTGTGCTTTAGTCTGCTGGTTCACGTGAACCTGCCTATGGAACCACTACAGCGCTGCATACGGAACTTCTAAAGCAGAAGTTTGCCTGCTTGTGGAACGTCTACAGCAAAGTCCTACTTCCCATAAAAGTGAAGCTCGTCTGGACTTCAGATGAGCAAAACGCGAGATGCACACATAACCAGACTGCCACTCCTCTCCACCCTCCCACATCAGGCCCTTCAAGCATACTGCATTCCAGCCATGGGTGCTGCAGCGTTAGCCACGCCTACAGCGGTAGTGCCAGCAACACCGCTTTCGATCCCACTGACCCTTACTCCTCCCAACGCTTCTCCCATTCCTCGTCCCATCGACCCTCCTATTCCTCCTCCCATCGACCCACCCATTACTCCTCCTATATCCCTACCAACACCCACGCCCCCTCCGATTGTCCTCCGCCCAACACCCCTCGCTCGATGCAAAGGGCTCCCTGCAGGTGCTCCTGCTGCCATGCCAAAACCAGGAGACGAAATCGAGGGAGGTGTGTGCATATGGTTGTCCAAAAAAAGATGGTGATCAGAGACAAGCTGGTTGTCATACACCTTCCACATGCCCATCACATGCCCCTTCTGCTCACCCTGCTGACCCAGCTGCTGCTGCTGCTGCCGGTATGGCTGCTGCTGCTGCTGCTGATGCTGAAGCAAAATACTGCCCCCACGTGCATCCACACCACCCCCTCCCACCAAACCAGACCTTCCAATGCCACTACCAACGCCACCACCCATCCTCCTACCACCCACACTGCCACTAGCAGTAGCGGCTGGAGCTGCAGCTGCTGCTAACGCTGTTGGCCCAGATCTGTCTGCTCTCTCTGCTGTTGTTGGGTCTGAAAGAGCACCATCAAATGCACTCAATGGAGGGACATCCGAAGGGGGAGAGAATGGCTATGCTAGGCCCTCTACTGTGGCTGCTGCCGTGTCAACATTTACCACTCCTGGGATAATGCTTAGACCGTGCTGCTGCTGCTGTTGCTGCTGATAGATTTGCTGTGTCTACTGATGTAGCTGCTGATTCACATTGACCGAGTTGACTGGGTTGACCTGGTTGACCTGGTTGACCGGGTTGACTTGGTTGACCTGATTGACCTGGTTGACCGGGCTGACTGGTGGCTGACGTGGCAGGGAGGACGTGGATTGGGAATGAGGAAACGGTGCCACCGAAGCCGCTTCCATCTGTTGCTGCAGCAGCTGCTGCTGCTCCTGCAGTGCTGCACTGCTGATGCTGATTACCCTCGAGGCTGACAAGCTCCTCCTCCTGCTCCCACTGCTGCTGCCGTTGCCACCAGCACCAGCAGCAATGCCTCGACTGTCGTTTGGCTTGATAATAGAGCGAAGCACAGCGTCCATTTCTTCGTCCGTGTCGCTCAAAACGACCACATCACTAGCACCGGGGACTGCCATGTCTTCAGCACCAGCAGCACTGAGGTCTAAGCTCACCTGGGCGGCATCCACTGTCTTTTGTTGGTTGCCTCCGGGGCTTGTGTAGACAGCTTGGTGGTGAGGGTTTGCTGCTGATAAAGGCTGCTGTGCCTGTGCCAGTTGTTGCTGAAAAACGCCATATTGGGGGATGGAGAAGACATGGGGAGGGGCAAGAGGGATGAGAGAGATGGAAGAAGAAGATAATGGGGGTCCGGGACAGGTGTGGGGGGTTGGGAAGGGGATGGAAAAAAATAAAATAGTGTGCATGCGAACCCAAGGGACAGAATCAGTCGAAGTGCAGAGAAACAACTAGAGAACTGACAGAGTAGCTCACCTGGAAAATAGTATGTAGGCGTGGCTGAAGTGCGGCTTACCTGGAGACCACGGTTGTAACTTGTTTTGAGAAGGCTCACGTTTTGCAACTCGTTTTGAGACGGCTGAAGTCTCAAACCCGGTCATTTCAAACCAGCGAGGTTAAAGGCAGTATGGCTCACCTGAAATGCATGCTGCCTGGCTGCGGGTTGCTGGCGCGCCCAGCCGTTCTGAGGTGGTGCTGGTGCCTACTCCCCATTCCACTGCTGCTGCGGACTAATCTGATGTTGCTGATGTGGGCTCATCTGATGTTGTTGCTGCTGCTGAGGGCTCATCTGATGCTGCTGCTGCTGCTGCTGCTGTTGCAGATGTGGGATCATTTGCTGCTGATGCTGCTGCTCCAGCTGCTCTCTCTCTCCTCCGCCCATATGCCTCATCCCTCCACCACCTGCCCTTCCTACTCCCTGCTGCTGTCGCCGCTGCCACAGCTTCTGCTGCGCGGGTAGCCTTGCTGCTGACGCCGGGGAAGGATTTGCATTGCGCCCTGATGCACAACCAATGCGCCCTGAGACAAGGCTGGTGTTGCAAACAGGGGATTTCTGGAGCGGGTCGTTCGCACAGGGGATGGTGGAGGACGAGGATGATGCGACTAGTGGATGCGGAACAGCAGCTGCAGGTGTTACTCCAGGAGGAATCTCAGGCAAAATCTGAGGTTGCTGCTGTTGGTTTCCGTACTGGTGTTGCTGTTGGTTCTGCTGCAGCTGCTGGAGTCCTGTGGCTTGCCACGCTCCCTCCTGTGCCTGCCACTCTCCCTGCCCTTGCACACCCTCAGCAGCCCCTCACACAACCTCCCTCCTCCCCCTATTCCCCATTGTGCCAACCACAGGTGCTGCTGAACCTGGTGGACAACGCCTTTCGGCGCACGAGCGAGGGCGTGGTGGTGGTGCACGTGAAGGAGGGCGCAGCGGCGCACCTGCTGCGGGTGGAGGTGCAGGACTCGGGCGAGGGGCTGAGCGAGGAGGAGCGCGCGCGCATGCTGGAGCCAGTCATGGACTCCAGCGGCGTCACCGAGGGCGAGCAGACAGGCCTCGCGCTCTACGTGGTCAAGCTTCTGGTGGACCTGCAGGTGAGGTGCTGGTGAGGTGCTTGTGGAATTAAATCTAATCCAATTGCTCGTGGACCTGCAGGGGAGATGCTTGTGTTTGGAATGACCGTTTATCGTTGTTGACGCCCCTCGTTGGGTCCCTCTGTTCTTGTCTTCCCACCCACCGTACCCTGTGCGCTGTGCAGGGCGGCACGTTTGGCATGGAGAGCGAGGCAGGCGGCGACAATCTGCACTGGGTGGAGCTGCCAGCCGCCTCTGCCGCCCACTGGGGTGACCCACGACAGCCCCGCCATTACATAGCCATGGCGGCTGCGCTACAACTACCAGTGATTAAGGGTTCTAGCACTGCTGTATGGAAGTTCCACATGCAGTACCGTATAGATTCCATTCTAGAGGCAGGTTCACGCGAACCAGCACATCATGGCACAATAGGTAATCATGCATGTTTGTGAGCTGATTTGTAAATAAGTTATCTCACGCAAACCAAACGCAGTGTCACCATGGGGAAGGCAACAAACAATCACAAGAAGATTCATTCAATGCACTTCCAGGTTTTGCATTCAACCCCATAGATTGAGCTGGCACACCAAGAACCCAAAACAGCTCTACCACTGGTCATGTGTGCCCCGAGAACAAGAATCCACTGCCAATCCAGCCTCCTACCGCTCCAAAAACAGGGCGCTGCGGAATCTGAAGCGATTATTCCAGCACGCAGCTAAGCTACCGTAACTGAAACAAGTGCCATGGGCATTCTCAATCGCAAACGGCATACTAACGTACTTGTTGTGTGTGCCAGAACCAAACAACCAGCACACCAATCCTGCCTCAGCCTCCTACCAGTCCAGAAAGAGGGCGCTTTGGAATCTGAAACGACTATTCCTGCGCGCAGTTGACTGAAACACCTGCCATGGGCATTCCCCAGTCTCATAATCCCAGCCAGCCTATCTGCACCCGACCCAAAACCAAAAAGAGTACCGTAATACCGTACTCGTTTTGCAAACCTCTCTAGTATGTGTAACCATGTTCTACCTTGGCGTGCTTTTCTTTAACCGTAATCAAAACCCAAGAGTGGTGTAGCTCTTAAGTTATTATAGTTTGATCCACATGATATCGTTGGCGCAACCTGGCTGGTTGGGCAGCTGGCAACTGGGTTGTAAACCAGGTCTAACACCAGTCCCGAGCCTTCCTTGCCGTAACTGGAAGGCAGGTTTGGGAAACGGACGAGGGTCGGGGATAAATGAGGATTGGGAAGAAAAATGTTCTAGACTGAACTCATATAGGAGGAGGCGTGAACACCTTCGTGCATTTCACAAACCCTGCACAACCCATTTGCACTGGGTTGCAACCAAAAGTATTGCATTCCATCACATTCCACTGCATTTCACCACATTCCACCGCATTCGCCCTGTGCTTTCGAGCACAAGCACACATTGTCCTTGCTGCCCATCGCATCCAACCGCACTGCATCTCACCGAAGCGCACTCACACTAGCTTCTGAACAAGTGACGTGTCAAGAAATCAGCTCAAGATACTTTCAGCTAGCCAGCATCAGCTTTACACTGCACCACACTCCATCCCAGAGTACTTGGAGCCCATGGACACACACATGGAGCTTAATAGTCAGCACACACTCATAACCTGATTCCAAAGAGACACACCCCACCGCAACCCACTGCACCGCACTCCACAGCATTCCACCACACGCACCCCAAGCTGTAGAGCAGCTGAAGCGCCTTGATGCTGAGATCGAACACTCCCCCTCCACTCTGATGCCCACGCAGACTGCAGTGTACCTTACTGCACCGCACTGCATTCCATTGCACCTACCCCAGGCTGTTAAGCAGCTGAAGCGCCTTGATGCTGAGATCAAACACTCCCCCTCCCCTCTGATGCCCACAGAGACTGCAGTGTGTACCTTACTGCACCGCACTGCATTCCATTGCACCTACCACAGGCTGTTGAGCAGCTGAAGCGCCTTGATGCTGAGGTCGAACACCCCCCCTCCCCTCTGATGTTGAGGGCATGGGGATGTTGGGGAGTTGGGGAAAAAAGAAAAAGGGGGGGGGGGAAAGGGGAAAACATGGGCTGAAGTGCCTTGATGCTTAAATCGAACACTCCCCCTCCCCTCTGATGCCCACGCACATGACGGGAGAGAAGGGGATGTTGTGGGGGAGGGGGACGCCTCCTCGGTCCCTAGCTGCTGCTCTGCTGCATCAGCTCCTGCAGTCAGCTTCATCGTTGCCATGCGGGTACGTCCTGGCCTGGAGACGGGTGTCTCCCATCCCTTCATAACGACACCCTTCGGCTTCTTAGCTTTCCCCTGCTGCTGCTTTCCTCCCTCGGATCCAGCAGCTTCACTAGTGCTATCGCCAGCCTCTCCTCCACCAGCAGGTGCCTTCTGTACTTTCTCTCCATCACCACCCTCTGCAGCTACCTCCTCTCCCTCCTCCTGCACACTAGGAGTCAGGTCCAGCTGCATGGTGATCTGCTCCATCTCCTGTGATATCTTGGCCTCTGGCTGTTGCTTCCAGCCCCCATACATCAGGCCCTCAACAAACTTCACATCCCTGCTGTCAAACAGCACACCCTTGCGTGGTTCCCACAGCAGCCATCTCTTGATCTCGGCAGCCAGCCCCAAATGCACACACCAGATTGCACTCGCCCCCAACTTACTGCGGTAGGTCTTGGGGATGTGGGCGACTGCCATGCAACCGAACACCCTCAGCATGTCTTCCGGAGGCTTCCTCCCAAGCCACCTCTCCAACGGCACCCACGAGTCATCACCAACCTTAGTGAGCACCCTGTTCCTAGCCACGGTAGCGTGCCGAACAGCATGGGGCCACATCGAGTTGCCCAGCCCAGATTCTATGAGCAGCGCCCTAGCTGTCTCTAGAATGGTCCGGTTCGCCCGTTCTGCTACACCGTTGGACTGTGGGGTGTAAGCCGTGGTCAGCTCCCTCTGGATGCCCTGCTTCCTAAGCCAAGCCGTCATCTCAGCTCCAAGGAACTCACCACCCCGGTCTGTCCTGATCCGCTTCACCACACACTCCGCTTGCTTCTCCACGAACGGCAGCCAATCGTCCCGAATCATTGAGGCAATGTGATCTTTCTGCTTCAGCGGATACGCCCACATTAGCCTGCTCCAGTCATCCACTATGGTTAGGAAATACCGCTCCCCCTTGTGCCCTTGCACCGGCAGCGGCCCCACCAAGTCCATGTGGACCAGCTCCAACGGCTTCTTGCTCCTGCCAGCCACACTATGGAAGGGGAAACGGGTGAACTTTGAGAGCAAACAGATTTCACAGTTTTCATCGGGTGGCTGTCCGTTCAGCTTCAAGCCCTTAACGGCTCCATCCTTCTCCAGCTGCTTCAGCAAAGGCATTGCCACATGCCCTAAGCGCTGGTGTGCCGTTGCCCAATCTGTCTCCCCAGATCTGGCCGACACTTTCACACCAACCCCTCCAACGGCGTTGCACTCCCCCTGGGATGCAGACCCCTCTCCAGCCTGCCCCCCACCGTGCCACGCCAGGGCCGGCAGCTGCCACATAGATCTGTACACATCCTTGCTCTCGTGCAGATCCCAAAGCACCCGATTGCCCAGCTTCCCCATCCGTGTTAGTGTTCACCCCAGCCTTGCCAAGCTTACGGAGGGAGATAAGGTTGGCCTTCAGGTCGGGGACGAGGAGAACGTCGTGCAGCACCACCGGCTTGCCATCCGCTCCCTTAAACGCAGCTCGTCCCGCACCAGCCACCTTCAACATGTGTCCAGAGGCGGAGCACACTTCATTGATCGGTGCAGCGCGTACTTCGTCCAGCAGGTCCTTCCGCGGCGTCATCGTCCAAGCAGCGCCTGTGTCCAACACCCAATAGTCCAGGGGGTGCAGCTCTGCTCCAACCTTAGCAGATGCGTCTCCTTGCTCCCCCTTGTCTCCCACATGGAAGAATTGGCCCGCGGTACGCTCCTTCTTCTTCTCCGCACTGCCGTTGCCCTTCGGGTTGTTGTCGGACGAATCAGCGACCATGTTCGCGCCGTTTTTCTGGTTCCTCCGCACGCCGCCATCCTGGTGACGATTCTGGGGGGTCCATCCATCGGGTTTCTTATAGCACAAAAACCAAGGGTGCCCTTCCTTCTCACAATACCAGCAACTCCCTTTCATTTTGCCACCAGCACCTGACTTGCCCCCACGTCCAGATTTCGCACCGCGACCCCAACCGATACCTAGCATGCAGATACAGACAAACAACATCCAACCTTCACCTAAATTGTACCCCTATAGTGCCTGCCTTGCTACACTATAGTCAACCAAACATAACAGTACAATTTCGAGTTGGATAGAACTGAATCTGCGAAATCAACTCAACCGAACTGCAAAGCTTCCATCTTGGATTCCTTTGCGAGCTCGTCCTTTCTGCTTGCACTGTTCATAGCGCGTACAATGTTGTGCAGAAGCGCACATTGCGCGAGTACCTGCAAATGCATCAAGCAAAAATTGTGAAAGCAAACAAACACACGAACACACCATTCATACGCAAATGCATTCGCACGCGCATACTCGTACAAACAGACGGCAGGATGTCGTTCAAAGTGAATTCGCACCCAACATGATGAACTTCTCCTGGTGCAGCTTCAACCACCTGTGATCCAGATCCCTCTCCATGTGCATCCCGAGGTAGTATTTTCCCTCTCCAAGGTTCTTGCACTTGAAGTTCTCCATCAGCTGCTGCTGCTGCTGAAGAGACGAATAGTGTCCACGTAGACCAGAAACATCACCAGCTCCTCCCCCTCCCCCTTGAGAAAGAGGCTCTCATCACAGCTGCTGGTCCTGAAATTTTTCTCCTCTAGAACAGCTGCCAATCTCTGGTACCAGCAGCTTGGCGCCTCTTTCAAGCCGTAGATGGACTTTTTCAGCTTGCACACCCTGCCCGTACCATCCTCGTTCCCAGGCGGTTGTGTCTTGTACACATCCTCCTCTAAAATTCTATTGAGAAAAGCCGTTGATATATCCGTCTAAATGACAAATTTCCCATTGACAGCT